TTTCTAGGTTAAGATTTGCCGAGCCACTGCCTTTAAGGAGAGTTAGGCACTAGAGACAGCTTAAAAGTATCTGTAAGATGAACACAACCAGATAAAAGTAGCATTGCGGAAAGAGAATAAAGATAATTTATATGGACAGTTCAGACTAACCTGTGCCGCATTCTCGTCACTTTCTAGCACGGGTTCAGCTCTTGCAGTCGGGAAACAGTTTGTAATCTCCAAACGGCTATCGTCTTTCTCTACTGATACCAAGCCAGTAAGTAATCCTTGGCATGCTTCACCGGCTACCTAAAAAGTAAACCACCAAACTAGCAAACAGTACACACTAGAGCTTGTCGAAAAGCGAAAACAGCGGAAAATCATGAATTACTTACCTCGCTCATTCCAGCATAAAGCTCGCTGTCCACATGCTTTACAATTTTCATGATCACAAGTGAGTCCATCTGTATGTAGGAAACATTCGGTGGAGTGATAGCAGTTATAGCCGCTGCTAGAGCTGACATGGTGACCCTAAAAAATCTATCGATGTTCTTTGAAAATCAGTCTGAAGGAAGTCATCCTTTAACGCGTTCTCTCTAACAAACCTAGAACGAAGAAGTATCAAAACACACATGATCGAGCAAGCGAAGAGTGGAAAATAAGGACACTTCCCGAAAAAATACGAAAGAACGAAGGTAAAGCGGCCCACTGCTCAAAAAAGAACAAAATATATCGCCAAGGCCTTTGCCAATCTGCAAATTGTGGCTAACAAAAGAAACAAGCAGAAAAGCATTGGAGTTCGATACATTGCTTCCTTGCCAACAAAATTACAGAGATGACGAAAAGCTGCGCAAATTCTGCATTGCAGAAAAATTTACAAATCAGAATTGGCGTCAAGGATAGTTCACTGACGCAACTTCCGTGGAAGGGTTTTGGAAACTTGCCAGTTATACGTGGGCTAAAAAGTAGCACAATCAAGTTGATTTGCTCTACTTATTGGCCGATCTTCTATCACTTTATCAGAATTTTGGCAATCAGCTTATCTGCATGCTTAAAAATTTTCAAATCACCCTCTTCACAATTCATCAGCCTGAAGTTTTGTATTTTGATAGTATTCTATAGGTGGTATAACGAAATTTCTTTTTTGCATTATCCTGAACTTTCAAAGAACCGTAGTTCTTTTCCCTCATTGCTCTTGTTTTTGCCATAGAATTAAAGTTGTAGAGTTGTAGTCACTTTACGGTCAATGAGCTGGATCGCCATCTTGATCGTATCCTTATGTCTGACACTGGCTTTCGCTGACGATGAAGTCACCTGTGGAACGGTGCTGAAGCTTATGAACATCAATGAGGCTGCCCGATTGCATTCGCATGAAGTAAAGTATGGCAGTGGTAGCGGCCAACAATCGGTCACAGCTGTGACGGCTTCCGATGATGTCAACTCCCACTGGCAGATCTTCCCAGGTAGAGGTTGGAATAGAAGCGAGAGAATTAAAGGATCAGAATTCTGCATTTTCAGGTTTGAAGGAAACTTGTAAGCGAGGAGAACCGATGAAATGTGGTGAAAAACTCCGTTTGAAGCATCTCACAACGGGATGCTTCCTTCATACCCATCACTTTACTGCACCTTTGTCGAAGCATTATCAGGTATTTGATTTCTCACTTTGTTTTCGAGTTCCTTTACTGCTTTTCAATCTTACGTATAGATGAAACTCGACGCCATCAAAAAAATGGCGCATAGTTAGAGTTTACGGGCTTTATGCTGCTTGCATTTGCATGTTTTGTCGCCTGCTTGCTCTCTATGTGCGGAATAGATATTTTTATTTGTGAACCCGTGCGCCCAAACTTTGCGCACATATACATCGAGGCGGGGAGCGTGTCACAGGCTTTTCTTTCTCGGCTGAATCAAATCCTTTTTCGCAAATTTCAAGCTACGGGGCTGGGAGTTGGCACA